ACCAATCCAGCCAGTGTTGCATGTAGCAGATAGCAATGTGGTTGCCAGAAAGTGGGTCACAGGTGGATTTGACATGAAATAGGTTTCCAGCAGCTCCGGTGGGGTGCTGGCACCGAAAGCAACCACCATGCCACTGAAAGTGCCTATTCCTGGCCAATGCACCAGTATTAGGAATGTGCAGCAAAGTTAGATGGCGGGTTCACAAATCATGCCACGGGACTGGTTCCACGTGGGAGGTTTATTAAAGGAAGGGGCAAGGGGTCACAGAGACCATCTCTGGGTAAAGCAAGAGAGAAAGAGAGAGAGAGGGGAGGTGGTGCAAGTTCTCTTATAAGGTGACCCAGAGCATGTGTCAGGTGGTTTCAGGTGATCTGCAGGTGGTCCGTAGGTGGCCTCACAGATGCCTGGTATCTGGTTTGTCAGGTCCCTTGGGGCTGGCTGTAGAGATGCCTGCTTATGGATCCCAACAGTCATTTCACTGTTTTCATTTCTAATCTTGGTTAGCCTTTGTTTTTGTTTGTTTGTTTATTTTAAGACAAGAGTGTCATGAACCCACTACGAAAAATGACCTTGAGCTTCTGATCCTCCTGCTTCTATCTCCCACCTGTCGGTGTTAGAGGAGAATATCATCACACCTTGTTTCTGCAGTACAGACCTTTAAGGATGCCAGACAAGGGCTGTCAAGTAGACATGTTTGCCTATTCCAAATTTTAAGTTCTTTGTATATTTTCTGATTTCAGGCCTTTTTCAGATAATGTGTTGTGGAGATGTTTCCTTCCAGTTTGTGGTTTATCTTTTTTTATTCTCTTGAGACTGTCTATGACAAAAGTGTCTTTTCTTTTTTTAATTGAAAATAGATGTTTTTCATACAATATATTCTGATTATAGTTTTCCTTACCCGAAATCCTCCAAAATCTTCCCTACTTTCCCTTCCATCAGATTCCACATCCTTTCTGTCTCTCATTGGAAAACAAACAGGTATCTAACGAACAATAATAAGATAGAACAAAAACAAACAAACCAGAATAGGGCAAAACTAACAAAAGAAAAAGAGCTAAAGAAAAAGCACAAGATATACATGTGGATACAGAGGCACACACATTTGTACATACAGGACTCCCCTAAAGACATACAAAGAATCTGTGAAGTACAAAAAAAAAAAAAAAAAAAAAAAGCCCCGCTGAAACCTTATGAGACAAAGAAACTCCAAAGATGCCAGCCATTGAGTTTCTTTGTAACACAGATGTTTTTAATTGCAATGAAAACACTTAATTGTATTTGTTTATTCATAGATTATTATTTTGGTGTTGGGTCTTACAAGCCAAGTAAACCAAGGGTAGCTGGGTTTCCCCCTTATCTTCTATGTATTTTTATATAATTTCATTTTGTTTTATTTTAATTTTGCATGCATCCATTTGGAGCTTGTTTTTGTTGTTGTGGAAGGTCTGAAGTTGGTGTCCCTGTTCATTTTCTGTGTGTGTGTAGGACTACCTGGTGGTGAGACAATCCTTTCTTCCCACGGAGAGTAGAAGGGTGAGCTTTCATGTCTCAGTCTTGTTTGTTTTTACATTTATGCTTTTAATGAATGCTCTTCATCCAGCTGGGGAAGTTCCCCTCTGTTCTGATTTTGTGAGAGTTTTCACCTCAATGAATGATTATTTCTGTCATATAGTTATGCTGCATCTATTAAAATGCTATTATTTTTACTCTTTAGCTTGTTGTAATGGATTACATTGATTTTTTAAAAGTCTTTTATTAATTTATTTTTTATTTATTACAATTTATTCATTTTGTATCCCAGCTGTAGCTCCCTCCCTCATCTCTTCCCATTCCTACCCTCCCTCCCTGTCCTCCTCCCATGCCCCTTCCCCAATCCACTGATAGGGGCAGTCCTTCTCCCCTTCCATCTGACCCTAGCCTATCAGGTCTCATGAGGACTGGCTGCATTGTCTTCCTCTGTGGCCTGGTAAGGCTATTTCCCCCTCAGGGGGAGGTGATCAAAGAGCCAGACACTGAGTTCATGTCAGAGACAGTCCCTGTTCCCATTACTAGGGTACCCACTTGGATACTGAGCTGCCATGAGCTACATCTGTGCAGGGGTTCTAGGTTATCTCTATGCATGGTCCTTGGTTGGAGTATCAGTCTCAGAAAAGACCCCTTGTCCCATATATTTTGATTCTGTTGCTCTTCTTGTGGAGCTCCTGTCCCCTCCAGGTCTTTCTATCTCCCCTTTCTTTCACAAGATTCCCTGCACTCTGCCCAAAGTTGGCTATGAGTCTCAGCATCTGCTTTAATATCCTGCTGGGTAGAGTTTTTCAGAGTCCTTCTGTGGTATGCTCCTGTCCTGTTCCCTGTTTTCTTCTTCTTCTTCTTCTTCTTCTTCTTCTTCTTCTTCTTCTTCTTCTTCTTCTTCTTCTTCTTCTTCTTCTTCTTCT